TGTATGAACACGCCAATTAAACGTTCTTCTGTTTTGTGCTACTGCTCAATATAAATTACAATTGAATAATATGTACAATAATATGTTGTTAAGGTATAACTGTATGGAACTGTATGTTTTTTTTGCATAGTTCACACACACACAATAAGCAAGGTTACAGTTATTTATAAGTTATAACTCACATTTATTTTAAATGTGCCTTCAACAAATGAACAGAACACTTGTACATTTCACAGTAAGTTATAATGGACTTTCTTTCATAAATCTCACCTCAGCACATCAAGTAGATTAACAAATATCAAAATTTCATAACTCATCTTATACCAGTTTTGTCCAACTGACTACTGCTGTTATTGATTTTGCCTATGGATTGTATTAATGTTAATTAGGTAAAACTATGTCTTAATTGTATTGTATATACTAACACACACATACACATCTGCATTAAATAGTGTTACAATTTTAATGTTACTCATAACACATTGGTATCTATAGGTACTTTAACTACAAACAGTTAAAACCACCTGTTGTGTTCTGCTAAATGGCTTTCTACTGAAATCTTTATTTGTGAGACGTGTACTAGGGATTTCATAATTCCAAATTCTGTACTCAAGACATAAACATTTCTCACTCCAATCATACTGTTGAAAGTTAATTACCTACATAACACTACATATGGGTGCCTACACTTAATGTTGTAGAGTCAACAACAAATTTTGTTTCTGCAAAACTCATGGGCATATTAAACACTTATAAGTAAATTATTATAAAGATTATATGAACACACCAATTAAACATTCTTCTGTTTTGTTCTACTGCTCAGTATAAAATACAATTGAAAATTTTATGTTGTTAAAKTACCTAATAATATGTTGTTGAGGTATAACTGTATAGAACTATGTTTCTTTTGCATAGTTTACACACACACACCATAAGTAGAGTTACAGTTATTTTTAAGTTATAGCTCACTTTTATTTTAAATGTACCTTTAAMAAATGAACAAAACACTTATACATTTCACAGTATATTATAGTGGACTTTCTTTCATATAAGTACACTGTAGGTACTCACATGATACTA